ATTTTGGAATTTGGTTGAATCCTCGATTTTCTATGCCCTTTCAAAGTCGCACCTGATGTGTTATATGAAAGATGTTATTCGAGTTGTAATAATCTTTTTGAAAAATTTGTAGTAGTCAAACTACTGCCTATTTTTAGTAGTCGAGCTTTTAATTTAAGCTTTTAGCAGTTCCCAACCTCCCCTGAATAAACAGACTGGATTAATTTGAAGTGGGTGCCATTTTGAGTGTGGCCCAAAATAGTTGGTTTAACTTGGACGCATAGAAATGTTTTTCGCTGAGTAGTTTAACAGTTTTATTTCAAATATATTCTTTTCGGTATAACATGACTATTTTAGTGAACGTTTTCAATATTCTTTTAAAAACATATTGCGTAAAGCCCAAGTTATGGAAAAGATGCTATCTCAAGTTCGTATATGTGAAGGAAAATTGCCATAAAACAACTGTGATTCAAATCGACGCATTACCAGGTGGATAGAATACATTAAAACGAAATCATTTGAATTTTCCTGGGTAGCGCATCATACATGACAGACATTATACATGCAGCAGCGTTTTAAACCAGTAGATATGTTAACAACACTTTCTTGCCGGATTTTGTTAGCGGATTTATAGATGATAATGCATGGCCGCGCGGAGATACGAAATTTCTCTTCGAGTATTTTTTAACACCAATGAAATAGAAAACCATTTCACTTTCGCTGCGAAAGGCACGATTTATTATGTAACCATAGCAACGGTGATCTTTTCACTTACTTGTTTTATGTTTTGCTTGAAAGCTCTCCTGTTATTTGATAAGTGTTTATATAATAATGTTTATTCTTTCTCGACAAATGATTGAAAAAACTATTTCTCCATGGAGACTGAAGTTAACAGCTCCAAAATAATGTTTTGTGTCCTATCACAATTGATACCCAGCAGTCTTTTCCTCAAAAGCCTTTCGTAGTTATATTTGTTTAGTAGGCACGCCATATGAAGGAAACGGCCAACTTAAGTCGGCTTGTATTTCGCAAAATATCAATCAGTTCTAACGCAGTTCTACTCTCTGACACGAAGCACAAATGGTAATACCTTTGTTAGGAAAAAACGAAAGTCCTTTTTGATTTCATCTATGCTGCCTAAAATGCCTTCTTTTTGGTTCAATGCCACAGTCCATGCTTTGAACACATCTGGAAATTTCAGCAATGCCACATTTAGCCTGCACGACAAAGGATGTGACACTTTAGACAACCCATTCTCTGTAAAAATCGGATTAATTCTGGTCTTCTCCACAATTATGTTGTCAAGTTTGGTTGGAAACGCTTTTATAATCGTTATTGTATACCAGCGAAAAGACTTGAGAAAGACGACAAACTACTTTATTGTCAACATGGCCGTTTCTGACTTCGTATGTCCATTATCAGTGATTCCCTTCAGGTTGGTAAAGATAGCTTCCAGTTCTACGCGATGGCCTTTTGGTGGTACAACAGGATTTTTCTGCAAGGCGATAAAATTCTTGGCCTCTACTTCATATGCTGTTTCTACAGGGAGCCTCGTCTGTATCGCTGTAGATAGGTTTGTAGCGGTGGTCTTTCCAATGAAAGCTCATCTGGTCTCGTCAAGATTTCGCACCATAGTTATTGCTGCCATTTGGATCTTGGCAGGGATGACAAATGCTTTCCTTCTGTATGCGTATGAATTGGTGGAACTGAGAAATGGGGAAACTGCGTGCACGTATTTGAACAATCTTATTTTTTCATTTCAGATATATAAAAATGTGCGTATCGGTCTTTTTATCATTGGACCACTCATTGCTATAACAATTTTATATTGTGTTATAGCGGTGACTCTTCGAAAACAAGACAGATCCCTTCGTGGTGCATCAGTGCACCAGAAAGATCAGAGGAAACAGCAAGCAATTACGATGACTGTCTGCGTGATTGCTGCATTTTACATCTGTATTTTTCCATCTGCTTTACTTAACGCCTTAAACGGAAATCAAATATCTTGCTCTGTTTTTAAAATACTAAGGTTCATTTCTGACGCTATGCTTTACTTATCGTCGACTATGAATCCAATCATTTGTTTGACATTTGTTCAAAACTTTCGTCAAGGCTTGAAAGAAATATTTATGTGTTGGAGGAAATGTTTCACTACAAGAAGTAACCTGGAAACGAACCAATCAGAAGAAATAGCTCTTCGTGATATGAGAATTGGGGAGAATCTCTCATTTAACGAGAACTAACTAATAAATGTTTAAAGATGGTGTGAAAAAATAATTGCTATATTCACAGGCGTCCCAAATTCACGATTCCAGGAATCGATCAAATATTAATGATTTATATAGGCGTATCGAGTGGGACGCCGGACCACCTAAAGTGCGTGGTGCTGTGTTACACTTTGGGCCGTAGAGAATTTGAGCGCTCTAAAAGGGATTGTCCTGAGTTTAAAATAACGAAGGATAAAAATGCGCAAGGAAACAAAATGTTACCTTCGTTTAAATGAAATAAAGAAAATAAACTCATCTTTAATTGCCTGGCTTCTGATTGAAGCTAAGCTTTATATCTTTTAGCACGTTTGAGAAGAAAAAGTGTATCGTTATTTGGATTAATCAACTGAAAAAGTTGCATTTCTGTCCCACAAACAGGACTTATTCAGTTACCAAGCCATCTACCTTCCTTTAAATTGTTGGGTATTTTTTTCAAAACCTTCAGTCTAGCCTAAACATGAGAAAACGCAAAGATAATTTGAGCAAGGGTCACTATTGTAGAAATCAAATTTCTGCCGCCAGCAGTTACGTTTTTGTCTTAACTTGATCTGAACTTAAAAAACACATGTTTGTTTAAATCTAAATAGTTAAACGAGTGTTCTTTTAAAATAGCATAAACCAAAAATGAATTTCGGTATATGATGATTATTCAAGATAACTGACTGTTAAATATTCGTACCAAATCTCCATTAACGCAAAGTTATGGAAACATATTATTCCCGTATGCCCTCTTAATAGAACTGCCACAAAATAATTCAGATTCAAGATGTCCTGATAGCATTCGAACACAATCAAGTCAAATTATATTGAGTATTCTGTTACAGCAATAGAATTGTTATCCAGTAGACATCCTTCGGTTGCTGATTTACTCATTATACAGCGGGCTGTACATGTTGCAGAATGGTTTCCTGTTCTTCAACGGAGATCATTCGAGAGCTGCGTAAATTAGATAAACGCATTTCCACCCAAAACAAAGTTTGACAAATGTCAATTATAAATTATATCGCTCTCGCAGTCGATTTGGTAGTCTCTTGGAAGGTTTTTTTTTTCTTTTTTTTTTTTTGCAACCTAAAAGATGACCTTTATCAAAAATGTCACATAACCTTGATTGCAGTACAGCCACACAGTTGTCTGCAAGGCACGGCTAATTCAGGTCAGCTCATAATCATACCGGTGCCACGAGTTGATTGATAGTTAATTGCGTGAAAAGTAAGAAATTATAGAAAATGAGATCTTACTGTTTAGCGCCATAAAACATCGAGCAACGTCTGGCATTATCAAACATGTCCGAAGCCGTTTCCACTAAGATAAAATAGTGTAATATTTTCTCTAGCTACCTCCTGATCAGGCATGGGCAGCGCCCATTCGTGCACACTTAAGTATTTTACTTACTTCTGGTTACTTTTGATGCGTTTTGGGATTAAGGGAAAAACCTTTATGAAGTTCCGCGATTTTCTGTGTGATCTATAATTAATAATAATGGACTGATGCACTTTGCTCCGTCCACTTTGGGACATCGTGGCTCCGCTTTCACATTTATCGTTATTTATATAATTTTAGTTGATTTTCCAACTTCCAGTCAATGGATTACCTGAAGAACTCAAGGAAATAAAGTTCTGATGTATTTTCAAGATATCTCAATACATTATTTAGTTCACGGTTTTTATCTCAACTTGGGCGCTGTCTCTTGTTTACAGTTTTGTAGAACAGTTAAGAATTGAAAAGGGTTATGGTTATGTCGCGTTGGTTAAGGTGGTATGGTACCCTCAATATGGACCAAAAAGTTTGTTTAAATATGGTGAAGAAAGATCAATTGTGTGCTATTGCACTCAAGAAGAGAAATT